ATTTCTGCTCTTAAAAACTGTTAAGCTCTGGGGTAAGTTATCACAATGCCCYTCATGAATCCAGGAATTGTCTATTATTGTTATATGCTTGGAATKTATCCAATTCATCACAATAAGTAAATAAACTTAAAATCCTGAGTGTAACAAAATACTGAGGACATTTATCATAAAAGTTTTATATTCTTTTGCTTTTGGACGTAACCTTTCCAAACTCATTCTATGATGCTAGTGTCACCCTGATACCTAAGCCAGATAAAGTCACATCAAGAAAAGAAATCTTCAGACCAATATCCCCAATGAACATAGATKCAAAAATTCTCAATAAAATTCTGGCAGATTGCATGCAGAAACATATTAAAAAGATAGTGCACCATGATCAAGTGGGGTTCATCCCAGGGATGCAAGATTGRTTCAATGTATGGAAATCAATAAATGTAACTCATCAAATCAATAGACTTAAAAGATAAAAATCATACGATCATCTCAATAGATTCAGAAAAAGCATTTGATAAAATACAACATCCTTTCATGTTCAGAACACTACAAAAACTAGGGATAATAGGAACATACCTGAACATTGTAAAAGCCATTGATGCTAAGCCCAAGGCCAACATTATTTTAAATGGAGAAAAATTGGAGACATTTCCTCTAAGAACTGGAACAAGACAGGTATGCCCTCTCTTACTACTCCTACTCAGCATAGACCTTGAAACTCTAGCCACAGCAATTAGAAGAAAAAAAATTAAAGGGGTACAAATAGGAAAAGAAGGACTCAAACTATCACTATTTGCTGATAACATGATTCTATACTTAGAGGATCCAAAAAAACTCCACCAGAAAACTTCTAAGCTGTAGCCATCCTGCATTCAAAAACACTTTTCAATACTTGCCAACATGTTATAAATAGAACATAATTATATATGGATATAGGTGGACATTCTTTTTWAAAATCCACTCTATGTTTGGGAGGCTGAGGCAAGAGGATTGCAAGTTCAAAGCCAGCCTTAGTAAATTAGCAAGGWCCTAAGCAACTCAAAGAGACCCTGTCTCTAAATACAATACAAAAATAGGTGCTGAGGATGTGGCTCAGTGGTTAAGCACCCCTGGGTTCAACTCCTAGTACCAAAAAAAAAAAAATCCATTCTCTATTTATTAACTTGTAATATTTACCTTTGGTGGAAAAATATTTAAAATCATTTCTACAGAATCTCAATACCTGTATTCTAATTAGAAGGAAAATGCCTAAAATCTTTTTAAGGATGAATCAAGGAAAAATAAACATGAAATGAGAAAATAGTACTACATTAACAGAATATTTTATTTGGGAATTAAATTATGACTTTGATTACAAAGACATAAAACTTATGTAGAAAGGTAAAAGGAGAATTTGGGTTTAGCAACTGTCTATATAATCATTGTCACTAAATATTTTTTGTAAAATATTTAAAAAGATGAGAGAGTAATGTTCAATCATTTAATTGAATAAATATTACAACAAAGGCATTTTTAAGAATTTTGCAATCATATTTGCAGTTGGCTTTTTACAGCTCCATTTTATGTTTGTGTATATGTATTTACTTTGTTTTTTGTGGTACTGGGATGGAATCTATCACCTTGCACATGCTAGAAAAGTGCTCAACCACTGAGTTACATTTTCAACCATTTTTAAAATTTTTTGAGACAGGGTCTCACTAAATTTCTCAGGCTGGCCTGGAAATTGCAGTCCTCCTGCCTAGTTTCCTGAGTACCTGGGACAGGCATGTGTGATCATGCTCACATTTAGACAGCTCCATTATACTATTAATAACTTAATATTCTGGAATGTGGTTATTATAAATTTGGGGAATCAAGGTATAATATATAGGCCACATGTAGTGACTCATTCTTGTAATCCCAGCTACCATCTCAATATAAAATTTAAAAAGAGACATAGCATAGTGATAGAGCTCATTATGCATGAAACACTCGGTTCCATTTGTAGTACTGAAAAAAGGAAGATTTATAGAAGAGCCACATCCAATAAATACAAATTTAGTATGTACAAACAAAATATTTTTTTTCTAAACTTGACTAAAAGATGAATGAGTATCTATAAATAATGAAGGCAAAGTAGTACCTCAATTCTGAAGGAAAAAAAACACTGCCCTAAAATGACAATTCAGCTTTTAAGTAGCTATATAACAAAGGAATGATAAATTTAATTTGGAGTACATACTTTTTTWAAAAAAGGAATGCTCTGTACCATAAAGCTCTTTTGCATGTGACTAGGTCAATTTATGATTTGGAAATGGGATATATTTATGTGAATAAATAAAATTTTGCTGGTCTTTAAGAAAATATTGTTTTTGGCACTGTAGTATGAGAGTGTTTGACTTTAATTCAAAATTTTCCATTTACCCTACTTTTATTCAACACAGTACAAGATATCCTAGCCAGAGCAATCAGAAATGAGAAATCAATAGATATCCAAATCAAAAAGGAGAAAGTCAAATTGTCATTGTTTCCAGATGACTTAATCTTAAATATAGTAAATGCTGAAGATTCCACACACAAAAAAGCATTAGAAAAATAATTTTTAAAATTCTTCAAAGTTGCAGAGTACAATATTAACATACAGATTCAGTAGTGTTTCTGTATTCATCAATAGCAAGTTACCAGGAAAAGAAATCAAGAAAGCGATCTGATTTAAAATTGCTACAAAATTTGATATAAATAGTTAAGGATTGTTTCTATAGGCATTGTAGAGTTTTGGAAGAGTCATTATGCCTACTTAACAACTGATCACTCTAAAAAAGCACATGGTGATGAATTGGTAGATTCTCTGGTGACTTTGCTGTTTTATGAGATAAGTTTTCCAATAAATGTTAGAGTTAATACATGATTTTACCTGAAGCAGTAAAAAAAGTGGAAAAATGTCKTCCAAAATTAAAAAGAAAATCTTTGTATGTAAATATGTGAATGGTGACAATACCACCTATCATCTATTAATAAGAAATCAAAACATTTCATAAATAAAAATGAACACATTTTAATATACAATAAAATATTTTCATGTATGCTTTTATTAGGTGAAAATTATCTATTCCATATAAGAAAATAGTTGTTTCTCAAATCATACCATCTTAAACAAAAAAGTAACACACAACTCAGATAAACATTAATAACAGCAGTTTTTGACAACATTAGTCCTTAAAAGGGGCAATAAAATATTTGGTGTCTATATAATCAAACTAAGTGACTAAATCATAAAAAACAATATCTTATAAAAGAACCCTTTATGATTCATGTATTACATATATCACTTTGTATTTTAATGGTTATTTTAGCTTATCAAATTTGAACACATAGTTTTTAAAACAAGAAATCAATTCTTTGCTTTTATTTATTGGGATCATTATAATCTGAATTCTATTAAAATCAAATGACAAAGGCAATTGTAATGGATACTTGAGGAAGATTATGAAAGCATATAACCTACACACTTACTTCTGTGTATTTTAAAGCATTTCTTGGTTATTTATAATACCTAATACAATGTAAATGGTATGCCAACAATTGGTAGATTGTATTATTCAGGGGATAATAATAAGAAAAAATTTATATATTCACTACATATGCAACTCTTTTCCCTGAATATTTTCAACCAACAGATGGATGAATCTGCAGATGTGAAACCCATGGATACAGAAGAATATTCAGATAATTATAAATGAGCCATTATGAAAAAAATACTTCAACAGTTTTTGGCATTGAGAATAACTTTTAAAATGAAGACAGAATATATTTTATTATACTTTGAAACCTAACTGCTACTCTCTGGTTGGAGAAAGGTGTTGGGAAATCACAACAAAGCATAGAGGTATCCCAACAAAGCATAGAGGTAAAGCATAAATTATCTATGTCTGCAGTGGGAAGAAGGTATTTAGAGTGGTGGTATCCCTTTTGGGAATGTGTTGATCATATTTTTACATATGTTCTCTTAATCTCAACTATTTAACAAAGTTTATATTTTTTTTTTGTCATGGAGGCTTCAAAGATACAATGTAAGAAATGGAGAAATTTCCTCTGTAGCAGCTATTTCTCAAAAAAAATTTAATAAAACAGGGTATATTATAAAAGATTAATATATATGTTATAATTTACCTTTAATATAATATATAGTGGTTAACTGGATATGAAGGAAAAAAAGTCAACAGGTTACATTTGTATGACTATCACTCTGAAGATGCTTGGTTGTATCAAAATATCATTATAGTGATTCATTCTTATAATTTCCTCAGAGAATCTAATTTTCTGTGGCCGGATTATTCTCTGGGAAATAACAACTTTTAAGTTATAAATAAATTTAACATTAATGATGCATTTTCTCAGACATATGAAATTTTACTTCAAAAAATCTTTTTTATTTGAAGGATTRTTTTACTATAAATTCCAGTATTAATTTGTTTCTGAATATTTTTATACTCAGAAGATTCATATGCAAAATTTGTTAGCATTTCCCTATTTCTTCTTAGTAGAATTAAATATGTAACAAGTAACATTTATATAAAAGAATATATATTAGATTTTCATTGTATGTAGTTACAAATATTAAGTAGAATAATAGAGTGCATTGTATTATTGTTTTTAAAGTTAAAAAGATCACCTGTTAGCACACAGCACACAGTGATCAGTTTGTCACAATCTGACACTTACTAATCATAAGTATGTTAACCTGACAGATACCACAAGACAGATACCATAAAATAATAATATTTTCAATTGGAATATCAGTATGTACAAGAATTCAAAGTATTGTATTTTTCAGAGATTACTTTAAACATGAAAGAATTTTTGTTTCTTTTATATCTAAAGTAATATGTAACTGGACCCAGTATGCATGCTTATAATCCCAAGGATTCTGAGACTGAGGCAAGAGGATTACAAATTGGAGGACTAAGGCAAGAGGATTGTAATTTGGACCCTGTCTCAAAAAAAAAAAAAAAAAAAAGAATAGGGATTGGATAGGGGCAGGTGTGTAGCTCAGTAGTAGAATACCACTGAGTTCTATTATCTATGATAAAAAAATTTAAACTATTAAAAACAATCCAATAATAGTATTAACTTTTGCTTTCTTAGTTAACAGTTGGTCTCTAACATAAAATTTTGAGACATGAATAATAAACAKTAACTAAAGATTGGCAAAGAATCCCAAAAATAATACTTGGGGCACTTTATCTTGATCACAATCAGGAAAGGAATGCTTTCCTAATAATCGAGAGGTAACCACTTACTTTTATAAAGTATTTCCCACAGTTTCTAATATCTGGAATGCAGCATAAGAAACACTCAGAAGATGCAAAACACCAAGCAAGSTACAAGTAATCAGAGACCTTAAAATGGTGACACAGATTGTGCTGTGGAAAAGAAATCTTACAAACACAATATGGTTCACAGTAAGCCTTARGATATCTTATAAAAAAAAAAAAAGACTATTATTTACAGCAATTTTAAGTTCACAGGAAAATTGTAAGAGTGATTATTATACTTAAACATTTCATCACTATGGGAAAGTTGTCCAGAGTCTGAATATTAATATAATAAAGTTGATTGAATCATGGTCAAAATTAGAAATGAAACACATAACCATGTTTTTGTTTGTTTTTCTTTAGACACATTGAATGCACAGGAAGCAAGCAGGAATTTACCATGTGCTAACTGATTTCTGTAACATAAGCATTTATCTAATGTGAAAAAAAATTGCCATCAAATTAGAACTTCAATTTAAGCCAGACATGTAATAAATAATGCCATAGGAATGTTATTTACACAATTTCTGTTACATATTTACTCAGTGCAGTATGGTAATAAGTGGCAATGATAATACTCTTTTAAAAAGGTAAAAATTATAACAGCARTAATGCATATTGATTTTTACAGTTTTTTCATAATTCAAAACTAAAGTCATTTATTGAAATGAGGTGCTTCTTATAATTATTAAACCTTAATCAATGTTGCTGTTGATCTGATGTGTAAGTTGTTCTATCCTTACTGTATTTTTCAGACCACTTGCGAGTTAGTTCCAGATAAAGACTTGGTTTATGAGGCCGATAATCCAGGTAAACTGTATTACTGGTTCTTTTGGGTATAGCTTTTTCAATTTGAGTTCCTTCATGCCACTCATTAAAAGAGGTGATAGAAATTAAACTGGGGTGTGTCTGAAGAGCAGCACTAAGCGAAACTTCATAATACTTCCCATTGATTCGGTTCCGAGTGTTTTGAGAGTTCCAGGGACGAATGCTGGTATCTATGTATCCTGGGCCCACACTTGGAATAAATATTAAATTGTATTTATCACAAAAGTATTTTAGGTTGGCCCAATTCTGATGTGATGAACCATAAGTAAATCCATTTGTGGCAAAATATGTGTAAATTCCATCAAAGCCACTTTTCAGAATGTCATATTTATGTTTTTCTTCTACGAGAAGTGCAATAAATAATCCATCATAAGGAGAATTGCGAACACTCTGAGACCCTGACGTGGTTAACAGATTGGCCCATTTTTCAGGTTTTGTGATATAGGAATCATAGACATAAAACATAGGAAGAGCATTTCCAGTCTTTGTCTTATACCTATAAAAGGCTGGGTGATTTCCATACCTAGAACACAAACATATTTAAAAGAAAATTAATATTCATGATTTGTTTGACATAGAAAAAACTGATAATGTATCAAAAATGAGGGTATCAGTACAGTTTAAGTACACCATTGTTCTTCAGGGAGTTAGTCATAAAAATATAATTAAAATGCATTTTTATTTTTAAACATTAAAATACTGGACATATTATCAAACAAGATATTAYATTACTAAACAATATATTAAGTACACTGAGGTTTACGAATGGTGACAAATGCCATAAAAAGCCCATTATTTTCTACAGGGAAATCATAAACTGATTATTTTATATCAGCAATAAGCATTCCTTTGTTGTTGACAAGTGTCTTTTGTAAGAGTATGGCATCTGTCAAAGATTACTATTGGTAAAATCCTTTAAAAAATAAAACTATTTTAATAAATTCTTTCCTGTTAATGATACTAGATAGAAATAAAAATTAGGTAAGTGTTCATTGGTATAAGTAACATTATCTAAACCTTTTTTAAAAGATAGAACTATATTTAATGATTTTTAAAATATAAACTTAAAAATCAATGACAGAAATCATCTTACAAATGTAAAACAATGAAATCAGCAATCTTTATTTTTGCAAAAGTAACTTGTAAAAAATGTCAGAAATGGTTGGGCATTGTGGGTCACACCTGTAAACCCAGTGGCTTGGGAGGCTGAGACAGGAGGATCACATGTTCAAAGCCAGCTTTAGCAAAAGCGAGGCACTAAGCAACTCAGTGAGACCCTATTTCTAAATAAAATATAAAATAGAGCTGGGGATGTGGCTCATGGTTGTCAAGCACCCCTGAGTTCATTCYCTGGCAACAACGAGAACAAAAAATCAGAAATATTCCTCAAAAAGTTTGAGACGTTTATTGTGAATATAGTATAAATTAATTTTATTAAAATTCAAAGTTCATACACCATTCAAATCTCTCAAGTATAATTTAAACGTGGCCTTCTTATAATAACTATCACAGGATAATACAACAGTAATTATATACATTGAAGAAACTCACTTGTCTATAATGTACTTGACATTTTTGTACATGTTTTCATCATCTCGATTGCTATATGGTTCTATGTGAAAAGTAACCTAAAAGAAGAAAATAAAATCAATTACAGAAAAAAATTATCTAGGTAAAAATAAAAATGAATTATATTTTATATATTTTTAAAAGTGACTGATTCAATAACCTTATCTTAAGGTCAATTTTTTGTACTTAGAAGATACCAGAGAATTCTTAGTAATAAGGGTTTCCTCTGCTAATCAATATGCAAAACTCTATATTTATTACTTCAGTTAACCTTCAGAGTTCCATAAAGTAGTTACTGTCTCCATTTTCTAAATGAGGGAATTTAAAGTTAATATAGGTTCAGTAATATTCACAATTTGTTTGACATAGAAAAAAATGTTAATGTATCAAAAATGAAGGTAATCAGTACAGTTTAAGTACACAAAAGTTCTTCAGTGAGTTAGTCATAAAAATATAATTAAAATGCATTTTTATTTTTAAACATTAAAATACTGGACATATTATCAAATAAGATATTACATTACTAAACAATATTTTAAGTACACTGAGGTTTATGAATGGTGACAAATGCCATAAACAGCCCATTATTTTCTACAGGGAAATCATAAACTAATTTTTTTTATATCAGTAATAAGAATTCCTTTGTTGTTGACAAGTGTCAAAGTGTAGGAATGTTATTTATACAATTTCTGTTACATATTTACTCCCCAGGGTCATCCAGTTTGTAGTAGGCAATATAGGTAATCTGAATTCAGAACTGAATTTAGTGTGCAAATACTTTATGAAACACGTCAAACACTGTACAATACTTTATTAAAATATCTTATCATAAAATGTATAACATATATCTTTACATCGTACATGAAATATATAGGCACACACTCAATATTAAGATACATATTTTTAAATGTTTTTCCTAGTGGATTACAGTTATTCATGAAAGTGGGGCTCATGCTATATAGAATATAATTATCTCTACTTCAGTCCAAGTACTTCCTCTTCCCTTTCCTACTCTCTTCCTGTTCCTATTCCTCTACTCTTTGGTCTGCCTCCTATTTCCTTATAGGTTTTTTTTTTTTTTTTTTAAATTCGTGTTTGATAGATATACACAAAGGTGAAATTCACTATATTTGCATGTGTGTGTGTATGTATATGTATGTGTTTGTGTGTGTATATACATATACATATATATATATATATATATATATATATATATATATATCACATTTTCACTAAACTCACTCCACTGTTCCTCCCTTTTTCCACTGCCCATCCCTTCTCTACTCTGTTGATCTGTATTTTTCCTTAGTTTGTCTACTTTCTGAATATTAGATAAAACATTTGACCCTTAATTTTCTGATTCTGGCTTATTTCACTTAGCATGATAGTCTCCAGTTCCATCCATTTACCAGCAAATGCCACTATTGTGGGCTGGTTCCACAACTTGGCTATTGTGAATTGTGCTGCTATAAATACTGATATGTCTGTATCAATATAATTTATGCTGATTTCATTCTTCAGGATAAATASCAAGGCATGGGATAAGTGGGTCATATGACAGTTCCACTCCTACTATTCTCTTTTGAGGGAACTTCATGCTGCTTCTCACAGTGGTTGTAGTAATTTTCAATTCCACTAACAATGTATAACTTTTTTCTCACATTCATGCTAGCATTCATTATTATATTCTTAATGACTGCCATTCTAACTGGAGTGAGATAACATCCCAATGTAGTTCTGATTTGCATTTCCCTATTAGGAATGTTGAACATTTTATCATTGATTTGTTGGTCATTTATATTGCTTCTTTTGAGAAGTTACTGTTTAGTTCTTTTGTCCATTTATTGATTGGGTTATTTTATTTTTTGGAGTTAAGTTTTTTGAGTCCTTCGTATATTCTGGGTATTATTCCTCTGACAGAGGAGAAAGTGGCAAAGATTTTCTCCCATTCTGTAGTCTCTCTTTTCATGCTCATTTCCCTTGCCATGAAGCAGCTTTTTAAATTTGATGATGTCTCATTTACTAATTTTACTTCTAGAACTTTACTTCACGGGTCTTGTTAAGGAAGTTAGTGCCAATATATTAGAGTGTTGACCCTATATTTTTTTTTCCAGCAGTTGTAAAGTTCCTGGTCAAATTTCTAGATCTTTGATCTATTTTGAGTTGATTTTTATGCTGGGTAAGACAGGAATATAGTTTCATTCTTATATGTATGAACATCCAATTTTCCAGCAATTTTTTAAAAATGATATTTCCCAAACATATATCTTTGGCACCTCTGTTAAGTATCTCATGACTAAATCCATGTAGATTTGACTGTCTTCTCTTGTAGTCCAATGGTATTCCTATCAGTTTTTATGCTGATACCATGCTATTTTTGTTACTATAGCTCTATAGTATAATTTGTGATTAGGTACTGTGATGTTTCCACCATTACTCTTCTTGCTCAGGATTACTTTGGCTATTCTGATTCTTATTCTTCCAAATGATTTTTTTTTGTGAAGAATGTTATTGTATTTTGATGGGCATTGTATTGAATCTGTATTGCTTTTGATAGTATAGCCATTTTGACAATATTAATTCTGTCAAGAACATGTGAGGTCATTCTATCTTCTAAGGTCTTCTTTAATTTCTTTCTCCGGTGTTCTACAGTTGTTATTTTAGAGGTCTTTTACCTCTTTGGTTACATTTATTCCCAAGGATTTCTTTCTTTAGGTTATTGTGATTGGGATAATTTACCTGATTTCTCTCTCAGATTAATTATTGGATATTTAAGCATTAGAATTGGCAGGAAATAAAACTCATGTCTCTATAATAATATTGAATGTAAATGATCTAAACTGTCTAGTCAAAAGATACATATGGGAAGAAAGCATTAAAAAATAAGACAAAAACATATGTTGTTTATAAGAGACTTAATTTTCAGGCAAAGACATAAACAGATTAAAGATGAAAAAGGATACACCATGGAAATGGAGAACAAGGACAAGAAGGGGTAGCTACTCTTAGACAATGTAGATATCAAGTTAAAATTAGTTAGAAGAGACAAAGAAGGTCAATGCATACCAGATAAAAGAATCATTCAACAATGAGATATAATAATTATAAATAATTATGGCTCAAGTATTTATGCACCTATGTACACAAAACAAACCCTTTTCAATATAAAGAAGTAAAGAGACCACTATACAATAATACTGGGTGATTTCAACACACCCCTCTCACCAGACATAAATTAAGACACCTTAGAACTAAAAAATACTGTTAATCAAATGGACCTCACAAACATCTATAGAATATTTCAGCTGTAACAACTGAATTACTTTTTTCTCCATGGCACATGGAATTTTCTCTAAACTAGATCATATTTTTGGACAGAAAACAAATCTTAACAAACAAACAACAAAAACACAGAGATTAATCCTTGCATTCTATCAGATCATAATGAATGGAATTAGAAATCAATAAGAAGATAAAGAAGAAGAAATCATTTTAAYACTTGTAGATTAAATAAAATGCTTTTGAAGGAGGAATGGGTTTTAGAAGAAATCTAAGGAGAAATGAAAAGATTCTTGGCAACGAATTAGATCAAAAAGTACATAACAAAATATCTCGGGCAGTACGAAGGCAATTCTAAGAGGAAAGTTTATAGCATTCAATTCCTACATTAARAAAAACAAAAACAGAAAGCTCCAAAATAAATAATCTAATGTTACACTTCAAATCCCTAGGAAAAGAAGAACAAACTAATTTCAAAATCAGTAGAATACAGGAAATAATTAAATAATTAAGATCAGAGATAAAATTGAGAGTAAAAAATAAATATAACAGATCAATGAAATAGAGAATTATTTGAAATGATAAGCAAGACTGAATCTTTCTTTCAATGTCCAATTAACCTGTACTATYATAACAAATTACTGACAAAGTAATATCTAATAGTGATATAGAACAATAACTTTCATAGTGCTTATGCTGTTTATATCTTAAGTCTCTATAATAATAGTAGAAAGCAGTAATTAAAATTCTTTTGGCTGGGGATGTGGCTCAAGCGGTAATGCACTCGCCTGGCATGAGCGGGGCACTCGGTTCGATCCTCAGCACCACATAAAATAAAATAAAGATGTTGTGTCCACCGAAAACTGAAAAATAAATATTAAAAAATTCTCTCTCTCTCTCTTTAAAAAAAAATGCTTTTAAATGTACTGTGAAGAGATTTAAATTTTCTACCCMAAAACAATTATACATAAATCTAGAAAATCTGATTATGACTAATAAAATTATCTTGTAGGCCACTTCAAATTGTAAGGTAAACAATACAGATGATGACTTCCCATAAATTACAATCAATTTAATATTTTAAAAGAAAAAATATAACAATTTTTACGTTTATCCCTGATTTTACTTATTTATCAACAGCAATTAAAAAATTTATCATTTCTCACTCAAAAAAAAAAAAACTGGTTCACTGATATATTATTCTTCATGGTGTAGGATAGGGAGGATATTGTGAGTACAAACAATCCTACTCTGATTTTTATATTCTTTTCAAAATCAGCTTACCGAATTACAATTACAAGTGCTAAAGCCCCTGTTCTAGCAAATATTTAGGGAAGATCCAGCTGTTTTGGAGACTGAATCTAATAACAGAATGGAGCACAATCCCTTTATTTAAATGGGAAGGAAGGCCAATGGGATTAAGAGTGAAGAACTTCCTGAGGAAAAACATGGCAAAGACAACTTGGTTGGGGCTTAGAAGGTTGAGCTCACCTCTACTGCCAGACAGCTGCATTTGAACCTAGGGCTGTCTGAGCTAATGGACATGGTGTMGCATAATCTTAGCAGTCTCAAATTGGGGGAATTTCACACAAGAGTTCTGAGAAAAGCAACCCACCTGCCTTGAGATGGTTCAAACAAACTCATAATTCATTCATAGCCCCCAACACATTTTAAAAACCACATGAAAGTATAAAAACAGTTTCTTGAGCTCTCATTTCCTAGGACTATTTCAGGGACTGATCAGAAGAGTGGCCCTTGAATTTGTTTTGTAGAAGTGACATCAATAACTTATCCAGTCTCAGAGATGGTATCAGAGCCTGGGGGCTCCCCTATTTGCAGATTTCAGATAGCAATGAAAAATCACTAAATGGCACTGAGAGACACAGCAGTTGACAACTCTTCCTAGTCAGCTTATTTGAGAGATGCAATCCTAAGTTTCAGGACTTTAAATTCAAGAGGAAGCAGCTTTATGAAAAAGTATACAATAAAATGTGTGCCTATTTAGCTATTTCTGTCTCCCTAGAGTTTCACTTCTGTTCCCTAGTAACTACTGAATTTTTAAATTGCAAAAAGAAAATTAAAACAAAACTAATTTTTCATATATTTATTTTGAAAAAAAATTGACTGTGATTCAAATAACCTTTTACACAATTCAATGACAAGTTTTGGATAAACCAGTCTATGCTCAATTAGGGTATATGAATTCTAAGAAGTTAGAGACCAGGTTAAAAAAAACCTGAACAAATTTAGTAATGTGAAAACTCAAAGTAAAGGGTTCCTTGTTTAAAAGCCACTCCACTGCACATTTTCATTAAAATTTGCAAACACACTGAACTGAACAAGAATAAACTTGACGAAATATGAGCAACCTGAAGAAAAGTAAGAAGTATCAGACATGAAATATTACTGCCTAAATACAAAGAACAGAATAGATGATATAAAAAAAGAAAGAAAAATGAGGAAAAAATAGTATCATGAGCACAAGAGCAAGAATAAGCATTAGTTTTATATTGAATTTAAGTGCTTCTTAAATTACATTATTAGGTTACCACATGACATGACTTGTGCCTTTTTTGTATTGTTTCATTGAATTCTTTCTCCATACTTAGGCAAATGTCATGCTCTTTAATTCCTGCCATTTTATAATACATTTTGTTATCTGGAAGACAATTTTCCTTCATTTACCATTCTTTAAAAGTCTTACTTGAATCAAAGATATTTATAAACTTTTATAATTTCTCATCAAATTCATGTTTATTCATTTATGCATATTCTATATTTCCCTCAATAAAGTACTGAAGTTTTTTTGTATATCAACTGATTTTATCTTCAATGTAATTTTTTCAATTTTCTTCCATAATTTAGGAATCCTATTGAATTGTACACTTTTTGGCACCAGCCACCTTACTGAAATCATTATTATTTAAAACAATTTTTTTAAGATTTATTCTTTTTAGATACACATGATAGTAGAGTATATTTTGACTTATTATACATACATGGAGTAAAACTTATTCTAATTAGGATCCCATTCTTGTGGCTATATATGATGTGGAGTTTTACTGGTAGTGTATTAATATACAAACAGAAAAATTATGTTTGATTCTGTCTTTCCTATCCCCATCCTCCTCCCTTCCCTTCATTCCCTTTTCTAATCCAATGAACTTCTACTCTACCCTCTTCCCTATTATTGTGTGTTAGCATCTGCATTTCAGAGAGAATATTCAGGCCTTGTCTTTTGGGGATTGGCTTATTTCATGAAGCATGATAGTCTTCGGTTCCATTCCATTACCAGGAAATGCTATAATTTCATTCTTCTTTGTGGCTGAATAATATAATATTCCTGTGTGTGTATAAAAAAATATGTATATATATACACACATATATATATGTGTATATATATATATTTAAGTA